TTCCCTTTTAGCTTATCCCACAATAAAAACATGTTGCTTTATAGTATTGTAGCAAGAAACTCTTTTGACTCCTCAAAATACAAACAAGTAGACAGGAAACGCAAGTCTTGAAATATACTTCCTTTCAGGCCACATACAAATACAAACAAAACATCATATAAGAGTATATAACTTTAGATATATAATAAACCAACCAGCAGAACATAGGCACATTTATGCTATATTCAGAAAAACGTGATGAGATAAAGTGAAGCGAAAACTAATTTGCAATAAAAGATGATACACAAATATTCCAGGTCCAAGCCTTTTCTTTCCTTTAAGCTTAAACTAATTTGTTAGCATATCTAGTTGATTTTTCTTCAACTGTATGCGCAAAATTATTCTTACACAGTAAGATAATATTTAAAATTCTTTAATTTTTACTTTTAGATTGAAAACCTATTAAACATCTCAAGAGACAAAGAGGATATGGGGTGCATTTTGGTTATTGTTATAAGAAAGGAGGTCATTTGTAAAAATAGAATCTCAGTCACTTTCACTGGGATATCCCCTCCTCCTTCCGCGTGGCTCACTAGGGTATACAGAGAAAAGACAAACGTTTTTTTATTATGAACCAATGGCTATCTGCTACTGTTGCTTCTCTATTCTTAATTTCTCTCTGTTTTTCTTTGTCTTTCTCTCTCTCTCTCTCTCTCTCTCTCTCATCATTATAGCACAAAACGTCAAGTGTGGCCTCAGTCCTTTTTTTTTCCTATAATGTCTCTCTTCATCACCGACTCACTTTTAATATATTGTTGACATGTAATGAATTAATTAATTAATTTTGAATTTAATATATTGTTGTTGATAGACTTATTCAGATAACAAGAGAAATATTTTAATTCACATCACTGCTTTTTATGACTTATATTGCTGACATGTATATACCTATTACTGTAAGTATAGGAATAGGAGGATGCAGGTACCATGGCAGGAATTTCTACGAAATCAAAGCTGTATGTATGATTTGTATTTGTTACATGGGGTTCCATAGTGCCGTTTTTGGGTCTTTGGGACCACTTGTCCTTTGAGCTTCCATTCCATTTATGGAAAAGTATTATTTCTATGTGTTTTCTCTCGCTCCCTGAAAAGTATTATTTCTCTGTGTTCTCTCTCGCTCCCTCAAAAGTATTGTTTCTCTGTGTTTTCTCTCTCTCTCCCTCATCCTCATCATGGCACTCCTAAACCCTATCAAATATTCTATATAAACACCCCCCCCCCTTCCCCTCTTCCCTCCCCACAAGTTCCAGAGAGAGAGAGAGAGAGAGAGAGCTCTCAAGTGAAGGCAAGCTCCCCCCTGCGAAGGTAACCATTTTGTTTTTAAATCTGTCTTTTAGTTTTTCATTTTTCTGACCACCTTCTCTGGTGGGAGCTGGTGTGTTGCCATTGTTCCCCAATCGACCCCAAAGCTCGTGCCTTTTTGGGCCATGTTCATCAACACCAGAATTAGTACTAATATTTCCCAATGGGCTCTCTTCTTCTCAGCGCCGCACAGTTATCTTTTTTGGTGTTTCTGGTGTTTTAAATATTATTGAAACAAAAGCTTCTTCTTTTTCTGTTTTTGAGAGGTTCTCTTTACTAATGATTTTTTTACTTTCCTATTAGTTGAAAATGAACATGAATCCTTATGAGGATGTCCTTTTTTGCGACTACTGCGATCGTTTCTTTTGCTCTGATCCTCAACAACTACTACAACACATGATTGAGGGACACAAGCATGCACCTGAGGTGCAGGGGGTGAAGGCAGCAGATAATAGGAAGAGATGCACCCTCTGTGTCTCTAACAACGGTCACCAGAATTCCAAGAGCTTCACGAACCAAAAAGCTTTGGAGAGCCATATGGATAGCGTTCATCCAGGGTGGAAAGCTGCATACCCAAACTGCCAGAAGAAGAACTGCCATAGGGTGTTTCTGAACCAACAAGAGTACGAATTCCACAAGCCCACTTGTGGGAAAAACTGAAAAGGAGTACAGTGCAGGGTATCGTTTTTAATATAGTATGAATATTTTGGGCACTCTTTTCCCTTAGCTTTGTAATCACTGGATTATCTGAAAAGGTTTTAATGAGGCCTGTTGTAATTTTTTTAATATTAATATATTATTAATTATATATATATATAGAGCAATTTGCACGGCTTGATATTTAGAGAGAGAGAGAGAGAGAGCATTGTCTAATCAAAGCTTGAAAGTCGCTCCATATTGTTTCACTTATCATCTTCCCCTGCTAAAACTTCAAACTTTGGCACACGGAACTCATTTTCAACCGCTCCGACTTTATTAACAATTGTCTTGATATAAGTA